GAGAGAGAGAGAGAGAGAGAGAGAGAGAGATACAATATTCGAACTCATCACCTAATATGACATAATGAATTTGATTGGATTATCAAAGGGACCCACTTGCATTAATGCTGCTGATGAAGTGGCATAAAACAATGACACAAACAGTCAAACCAGTTGACTTTTTTAGTTGTTGTTGTGTCTACTGTCTCGTTTGACGGAGTTATTCTTTCGATGCCGACAAATTTAGTGAACTTACCCGAATCCTAATTAATTTTGATCCATCGGAGAGCTGAGTTCGGAAATTAATATTCTGCCGCCGTCGAAACAGCAGGAATTCAATTATCTCATACCGTTCCTTCTTGTTCTAATTTCCAAGGCATGTGGAACGCGACTTGGGCTAAATACAATTAAAATACTAGTAGAGCACATGCTCGATCGATCTCATCCCACCAAACGAAACGATGGGCTCTCTTCGTTCTTGCTTATGAGACACAATGGAAAATATAAGGTTTGACTGAGTTGGTGTGGAATCTCCTGCATCTAAAACTTTGTTTGCGTTCGAAACGTAGAATCTTTTGCGATGTTAGCGCAAGGGATGACGATAACATTTTTTAAATAAGGAAAATCCAATGATAGGTTGATGAATCGTCTTATTCTCATTCATGCATCAAAAAATTAATCATGTATTTATTCATTTTAATCTAAATCTTTATTTTTTTTAATTACATCTAATCATAATTATTTGAATTAATTTTATCCCATCATTTTAATTTAAAATAATTGTAACTTGAAATTATCTTAAAAATATATATTTTTTCATCAAAGATTTTATTAAAATGTTGACAAATAATAGTCTGGTTGATGATGCATTTGTTTAACGATGTAAGAATAGATTTAATGTAATATTCGAAGTGAAATTAAGCATATTTATTAGCTCGGTTGAGATATTTGATTCATATGTATATTAAAATAGAGGAGATAGAAAAGCGAGATAGATCATACAGAGGGGTTGGTGGTGGTGTTAACGGTGAGGAGGGAGATCTCGTCTTAGGGTGGAAGACGACGAGTTGAGCATTGCGAGAGGAGAGGGAGAGACGACTATCGGAAGGGGACAATTGCAATTTCTAGTTGAGGACGAACGAGTCCCAGCCAGAGAAGGTGATCCCGAAGGTGAGGCTGTCCCACTACTAGACCTTGGCATCGGCGTATGGCTGGAACATTGAGTTCTTGTCGGACCGATTCTGAAGCGGAGACGCACATGTAGCAACCTTCTCTGACGACAATGAAACCGTCGTCGGCCAGGGTGGGGATGACAGAACAGCGGGCGAGTTGGATCCGGTGCGACGATGGCGAGCGGTGCAAGTGCGGTAGTCGAGTGGGTATGGTGTAGGGTGTAGGAGCGACGATGGTCGAGCGGGTTCGGTGCGATGGGGTTAAGCGGTCCAGGAGAGGCAATGGTCAAGTGGTGTAGGAGCGACGACGACGAGTAGTATAGGTGCAGTAGTGGCGAGCATTGCAAGTGCGACAATGGTCGAGCAGTGTAGGAGCGATCGAGCAAATGTGGTGTGTGAGAAGTACATATAAATTTAATAATTTAAAAAATAATAAAATTATGTTTTTATTCTTTTCATTTACACTCAACGAAGTTAATGATGTAAGAAAAATTATGGTTAAATATTTTACCTTCGTAAGTTTACGAACTCTCGGGATGTTAACCGTAGTTAACTACAGAAGGTAATATATAATTATTTCAAATTTTTAGGAGATGGAGCATTTGACCATTTGACCAAGTCCCAAGCAAAGGATGTCTGTGGTGAAGCCTGAGCTCTCAGCTTCCCAAGTCCAATATATTATGCTTTTATTACAATATTGTCTGCATTATATCAGCTGATAGTTGTGCATCAAGAAACTGTACATCTCCCAGCAAGCCGTCACCAAATTAGTGTTAGTGTCATGTGTCTGCTTGTTAGGAAGAAGTCATTTGAGGTGGAGGATACATAAGGAGGGAGAAGGTGGGAGGAAGCTTCAGCTGTTGTGACTTGACCGAGCCCACGGCCACGGCGACCACCTTTTATAGCTAGCTCTCACTCACGAGGGAGAGTAGCAGGGGTAAAGAGAGAGAGAGAGATCATGGAGGAGAGGATGGGCAAGAGGGGAGAGCTGGGAGCCGTGGAGGACGAAGACGATGTTCTTCTTCCGGGATTCCGGTTCCGTCCCACCGACGAAGAGCTCGTGGGGTTTTATCTCCGGCGGAAGGTGGCCAAGAAGCGTCTCAGCATGGAGATCATCAAAGAGATAGATATCTACAAATATGATCCGTGGGATCTACCAAGTAAGTAGGATCTACGTGATGGAAACATCGTGTTGGACTCAGCTCGATCGTGCTCATTTGTTGCTGGATATATTTGCAGAAGCGAGCACTGGTGGCGACGAGGAGTACTTCTTCTGCCTCAGAGGGAGGAAGTACCGAAACAGCATCAGGCCAAATAGGGTGACCGGGTCAGGTTTCTGGAAGGCGACCGGCATCGACAGGCCCATATACTCCGCAGGCAACTCCGGCGACTGCATCGGCCTCAAGAAATCCCTGGTTTACTACCGAGGGAGTGCAGGAAAGGGTACCAAAACGGAATGGATGATGCATGAGTTCCGCCTTCCCAACATCACCGACAGCAACTCTCCGTGCAAGCGTGAAGCTGTGAGATTACGTGCTGTACGAATCCTTCGTTTGCAGTATCCTCAAATGCTGATCAAACTCTGCTGCATCGCTTTGTGTAGGAAATCTGGACGATCTGCCGAATCTTCAAGAAGAGTGCCTCCCACAGGAAGACACCAAATGCGCCAACCGAGTCAAGCACTGCAGGGAACGACTGCTGGTGCATCGCCTCCTCGGGCTATTCCAATGGAGAGAACGGCCAAGGATGCGCAGGCCACTGGGAGTTGATGAAGCAAGCTCCCTTGGCCTTGTGTCCCGACATGGTTCAGAGTCCAGGCATGGATGATTTCTTCAGCGGAGATGGTAAATGGGATGAACTCGGAAGGATTATGGACTTCATAACAGATTGAAGCAGTTGCCTCCGAGGGAAAAAAGAAGAGTCCTGCTACCAAACTTCCCTCCCGAGAATCTATCATGTTTGGGTTGAAGAGATGGTGATCGGGAACTTTTTGGGACACAGGGCAGCAGTTCACTTCCCGGAAAGATAATTTATGCTGCAAGAGCTTCACGGTGCAGTCTCCTGACATAGTCATCACGCTGACATTAGCTACAATAATGCAGCAAACTGAGATGCTGTCTGTGGAGTTTTTACATGCATAGAATAGAGAAAATAGAGGCGTTGCTCATTACTTACAGCTCAATCCTGTATGTAAACCTACGCTATTAAGATTATAATAAATAGTAGAAGATGTCACAATTACAAATACATACAGAAAGACCTTCTCAAAAGGAGTTCTGTTTCTCGTTTGATGAGACTCTCAGGAAAGATAAGAGGTCGTCGTCATAGAGATAAGATACTCGATTCAAACATGACACGTGCCTGGTTTGAATATAATGATCGGTGTCTCGTCTCTGTCGTTTCGATCTGATGCGGTGGACTTTGATCTACCGTAGTAAGTGCTTGTTTCGTGAACCGGAAATCCACCGGGGCCCATCGAAATGGGATGACCTCAGGACCTTCTATTTCTTCTGCGTTTCCCCAAATCTGGGCCCCTCCTGTGTCGTCAGTACAAACCCTGAATCCTGCCTCTGACCTGACAGTTGAGCCCTACATGGACACTGTTCCGATGACCGCAAGCCCCTCCACCTTCTTCACAGGGAAATCCCCGATGATGAAGAGAGGCGCGGCGGGCCGTGGGCGGCTCCTAAGGTCCGAGCGTCCACTCCTCCGGCGCCGGCCTCGGTTGGTGCTTCCCGGGGCTCGGACATCAACCCGCCGGGCCGCGCCCGGTGCTGCAGTCCTTCGCCTTCGGGCTCATGGTCCGCCTCGGCTGCCTTCAGTTTTCTCCTCGCCATATTCGACCGCACCTGGGTCTCTTGGGACCCTAATCGCTCTCAATTGATCGTGAGCTCCCTTGTACCCCCAAAAAGATCGTTCTTTTCCTTTTGTCTTCGGCCTTTCTCTTGTCAAACAATATTTGCGTTAGCATCGTTGATCGGTAGACGGCGGAAATTCTAATCTATGAACTGGTCTACGATCGAAGAACATCTGAGAAGAAAGATTCCAGTGCCATCAGAAAACAAGACGCTAGTGTTGAAAGATATGCATATTTTTTCTTGGATGGATAGTCTTTTCTGGATCATTGACTGCTTACTGTAGACGCAGGATATCTTGACCTTGCTTGTTATTTTTTTCTATGCAAGTATATTAATGGATTAGTCAATGATACAAAGGACCCTGAAATCAATTATGATCAATGTGATGTGTAGTGATGTCAACTTCTTTTTAGGGGATCATTGTGATTTCAACTTGGACAACAGATGAATCAGATGAACAGAAATCAGGAAATATGTCTTGTGTCTTTTATGTCAATGATAATTTATCATAGCACATCATGTGAAAGTGTGATTGGCTTTATGATTTCCTCTTTCTACCCTGCCTGCGAAATTTGTCAAAAATCTAACATTAAATCCTATTCACATTTGTACCCATTTTGATATTTGCTTTGTAGGTTTATGCTCTTTGGATGATTGCTTTACTAAAGATCCATTTTTCTGATATCATCTTCGTGAGATTTCGAAGTACTTCACCAAAAGTTCTGAATTTTTACAATTTTTTTGCTGGCTTTGTTCCAGATATCCAGAGGATATATATTTCCATTTCCTTTTAAGTTAAATTGAAGACAAAAAAGTTTATCATATTATGATCTGAAAATTCTTTTGTCTATTTCAAACCTATAAATCGTAAGGCGAATGATATTATTGTACTCATGCTTAATTTTGTGTAGGCTGAATGGAGTACAGGAGAAATAAACATTGCCTATAACCGAGGATCATTCATTCGGTCCATGAAATCTTACCTTTTGACATCCCAAGTATCAGCTTATGGATGGAATTGCTCTATATGTTACACCAGATACTATCATGAAGGTACTTCTTTCATGTCTTCATTAACATGGTTCTTTTTAAATGTTAAATATCATAGATTTTGAGTCAAAAATCCAACCATCTAAAATTTGACCTGATGATTGTCCTTTTTTCCTAAAACAAGAGTCAAGTTCAATATGGTAACATTTCACCTGGTAATTCATTCTGTTCTCCTAAAGAAGGTCCACTCTGTACAGCATTGTGCTAGCCTCTGTCGATCAGATAAGAACAAGAAAAAGAAAAAGATTTCCATGGATATTGGTTTTAGGACTTTCTCAATTCTACACCTGCTGCAGCTCTGTTTGCCCTTTTTCCACATCTTATAATTAAAACAAAGGAAAGTGCACCAGTATTCCACTGACAACTCCTAACACATATTTATTAATACATATAACTCGAGTGCCCTTGCATGAGGCCATAAAGTATGCTGCATGTGACAAAAAAAAATTCCTCCTTGACTTTTCAATGGCTATAAAGAATATACAATACTTCACTCAGTTTCATCCTTCTGAGGCTTTAAACTTGTATATGGCTTGTCTTATTAAAAATATTGTCATCTTTAGCTTCTCTATTAATGCTTGTACATGATCCTGGACTCTAGTGCTGAGTCACCATATTTGCTAGTGTTTCATGGTAGATGGCCCATGAATGCTAGGGCAATATATCTCATATATTTTACCCATATGGGTTTGTTACCCTGCTCATTTAGCCTTGTCAACTTATAAAAGTTGAGTTTTAGGATCCCTGGTGGCAAAATGGAAGGGGAAAATAGAAGAAAAGAGGCTTTTGGTCCAAACCACTGGTAGAGTAATTAGGTTGAAATCTGTTGTACTGATGGAAGAATTTGAAGTCCTAAAGGTAAACAGATATTTCTTGAAACAATTTGAATTTGCTTTCTTGAGAAACTTCAATGTGATAACATCTGAAACAGTCATAAGGATCATATTGGCTTTGCTTTCTTCAGATACTTAATAGCGTTAACATCTGAAAGTTACTGTCCTGCAAGCCTAAGGTAACTTTCTGGCAAATGGTAGTGGAACCACTGAAACATCAAACTTAGTTTCACCACCAAACAGCTATGTTATTTGGCCTTAAATTTCAAGAACTAAGACATGGCTTACATGACGTTTGACAATCTTGTCAATGGTCACAAAAGATCAATCATTAGACAGGTAGGCTTGGATTCGTGGATGCGTAAGATGAACATACGCTCATGCCAAATGTTCATCTTACTAGTTAGATTAATAATAGTTGAAAAGATTGACTTTGACTTGCATCCTATACTGGAGAGCCAAGTTTGGCATTTTCCAAGAATTGATACGCTGGCTATATGAGAATTTCAAAGTATACAGCAAATACAACGACTTCAAGAAGTTTAGCTACCGTTCATTTGTCAAAGGATTCTTTATTGTGGATGGTAAGTCTTAGTAGATGTGAGGTTGGACAGAATGGTATTCTGTTGTATCTTCAATCACATATTCAAAACCAGAAGTTTTCATGGGACATCTGCTGTCTTGTTGTTGGTAAAAAGATCACTACGACCTGTCTTACTGATCTTAAGCAATCCACAGTTTTTGTGTCAAGAAATTTGAAGCGTAAAAGATCACCAGAGCATGTTTCGGAGGTAAGTAACTGCTGCTATCATCATCAGGGAAGTGTTGCATGGCTCTTTGATGTTTACTATGGGTCTTAAGCTGCTGAAGACGGTAGCAGAAGAGTGGGAGATCATATCGATATTGATGCTTTAAATGCAATCCAAAGCAGAGCCGCAAAGAGTTGGGTATCTGATAAACCTTATAACAAAGATAATTGCTTATCTGAGATCAGTAAGCTTTTAGTTGATTCCAGAAGCATGAGATTAATCAACATGATGCCATTTTCATGGTGGATTAGTTGAACATCTTGGAACCGGAAGGGATTTTCATCGCTGCATACTTTACTATTTTTTGTTTACCCGTATGATACATTGTCGCGAGTATATCTGCAAAATTAATTTCAATTTAATTTTTTAGCTGCGATATATATTTGCAGGATAAATCAGATTGATCCAGCAATTGTATTGGCGAACCATGAGAGGCCTCCATTGTACTGTTTTCTCGAAGCTCCATGGTTCAACTTCACCAGAGACAGGGATTAGATTACCAGTTACAACATATGTATCCCTCAAAATTACAGGCATGTAAACTCATTGAGCTATCGGCAATTCTCCAGGCTTCTTCAACACATTATATCCAGTTCTATTTCCAGAAAATTTCATCCTACAAATGAGATGGCAGACTGTGGCTGACAGACCTCAGATTATTTTAAGTTCATGCAACTTGATGATGGAGCCCGGAAACAGTTTGTAAAGGTTAGTACTAATCCTTAATCATTATCTAGTCATTTGCCACTAAATCTTAATCTATCATCAAATTATGAGATTTGTGGGAATACAATTGTCTTGTAATAAAGGAAGTTTCTCGGTGGTTTGAGACTTAGCAAGTCTAATCATTTTGTTCGTTTGACATGCATGCAGGCCATCATTTTCCACTATTTCAGAGATACTTGTTATGATTCAACTCCCCACGCATCTCTTCCTTCTTGCAATCGGCATCAACCATGGCGAACTCTTAACAGAGATTTGGAGGAAGAAGATGGCGAGAACTTCAGACATAAGCTTGGATTAGGAGGCAGCCCCGAGGGAACAAACAAAGGAATCTCTAATTATATGTGTTCATGCTGGAAGAGCTGCTTCCGAGTCTCGATTACTTCTACTTCAGCCCCATCACTGCGCATGCTTCACCCCCCTCACGCAAGCTCTGCTTTTCCATGGCAAAAGTAGCAGCACCTTTTGCTGCACAGCTTGTTGTCCATTGAGGTACTTTTTCTCATCCCATCAATCTCTTTTCTACTGCCATTTTTATTGCCTCCATCAGCAAGTTTTTTTGTTTTCCTTATCATCCTAAAAATGAACTTGTACAGAGCTTTTACCTGACAAGAAGACCTGATAAGACTGGTTTTATTCACTCCATGCTTGAGTTCTCCCCATCTCTGAGACAGCCTGCAACAGGAAAATCATTGTCATCCATGGATGACACACACACGCATAGCCTACTGAGAGTAAAGAAACAACTTAGATCGAGTTGAACCAGCAGTTACAAGTTCTGAAATCTCATGGGGAAAACCCTTCTTTCCTGCTAGCCATTGTCCTTGCACACTGCAACTTACTCCATTGGCATATCAGAGTTCAGGCAACTTGTAGTCGTTCAGTCATATGGGGAATGCATCCAATGACAGAGGAAGAAGAAGAGACTGTTATTGTTCAGTCCTAGGGAGTACTCTGATGTGATCCTTTTCTGCTTGCCTATTTACACAAGACACATGAGAGCCTGACAATTTTACCCAAAGCCGCCTACCTCTGCTTGGCTTCAGTCCACTGAAAGCTTTTTTGCACCTTATGACAGCCATTCTGCTGTTGTTTGATCACGTGTCAGTCGTAGGGTAATGCCAGGCAGGGACAGTGGAGAGGGCCCCATGTGGATGAGAATCTAATTAAGCTTCTCATGTTAATTAAGACCATCGATGCATGATGGCCTTCCAAACAAATTAACTCACCTTTGAAAAAGAAGATTCTTCAAAACCCAGATAGCTCAAGCAAGTCAAAGGAGGATTGTTGCAGTGGAGGTCTCACTCGATGGATCTCTCTTCCGGTGTGCTCCTCCAAAATCTACATCATCATTCCTGTCTTATACTGAAAGAACTGGGAGGGAAAGAGTGACAGTAAATAGCATGGGTATACATGAACAGGAAGTAGATGTATGAGAGAGACTCTGCGGAGATTGCCTGGCTTGGCTCTTCTCTCGTGCCCCATCATCTCAAGATGTCACTAAATAGTTTGATGTGCCTCTGTCGCTGTTCAAAGTGTGACCTTTTCTTCACAGTGTTGGCATGAGAAGTCACTGTTTTCTACGGCAGGAATGAGGTTAAAGTATGCATGGTTTTGGTAGTGTTAGGGCATGCAGAACTAAGCATGATGGTGATGATGAGGCCATCGCTCGCTTTGCTACATTTGAATCCCGAGGAAGCCACACGGGGTACAAGGCTCCATGGCGGCCACTCTCTCTCTCTCTCTACGCGTACTAATCTGCAACTGTGACCTCGAAAGCCCAGACAAGGGCACGAGAAGCGACAAGGAAAACATGGTCGAAGATAAGATCCAAGAGTTAAAATCTCTTCTTCACCATGGACGCACACACACACATTGACTGTTGGATACCGTAAACAAACATCTTGTCAACCGAGATGTTCTTGCCTTGCCAAATCTGCACGACTTCGCCCCCCAGTGGGGCCTCTCTGAGAATATCCTCACGCTTCAAATACCCACACCGTCTCCGCCTCCGTCACACTCACCATTCCCCTCTACCTTTACTGTCTCCTTGTTCGTCCTCCTCCTCATCGCTCGCCTTTTCTCTTCCCCCAAAGGATTGCGACATGGGCGCTAAAAGTTAGGCTGCTGGGCTTGTGGAGAGGAGGCCGAAGGTCGCCCAACTCAGCTCGGAAAGCGGTGTGCGCAAGGATGAAGGAGGTGGCTAGGAAGCACAACACGGTTTCGCCATGCGCAGCATGCAAGCTCCTCAGGCGGCGGTGCACGCAGGATTGCATCTTTGCTCCTCACTTCCCTGCCGACGAGCCCCACAAGTTCGCCAACGTGCACAAGGTGTTCGGCGCCAGCAACGTCAGCAAGCTCTTGCAGGTCTCTCTCTCTCTCTCTCTCTCTCTCTCTCTCGTGTGTGGTGGTGGTGGTGGTGTGTGTGTGTGTAGTAGTAGT